GCAAATGCTGTAGCTACTTTGTTTTGTAAATCAACTCTGAACGTACATCTTCATCTACCAGGCCTGCATTAACTGCACAATATTCTATGTGAACAATTTGTAATGTTTCCTGGGGAAACGTCAACTCTCTGTCTTGTAGTGCGTTTTTTTGTTTTCTTTCACATTTATACTTCACGTACGAGTATCTTACATGTCACTTTCAATGGGGTGGGAAATGCTTGGATGATAGTGTCACCACCCACTGTGATGGTAGCATGTATACTTGTGAGTAGAACAGTTTATGGGGTCTGTAACAACAATGTCCTATCATATCAAGGTAACCTATAACCAGTTGCTAACGGGTGATAAACTGCTTCTTGTTCAGTACAAGAGCCTCGTCTAATTAAATGTGTAAGTGTTTTTCTCCTACCACATCAGACCAAGCATTCCCTGTGGTTCCCGACAATTACTGAGGATGGTAGCAGCAAAACTACTCGATTTAACAACATGGTGAGCAGTGGTGCAGATTCCACCCTACTGATTCATACAATGTGACGAAAGGTGGAGGTCAGCTGAAGGTTTTTCAGCATTTTAAGACTCCACTTTAAGCCACCTGCTCAGGAGACTGTCAGCAGCAGGGAAGAGCTGAACATTTAGAAGCCGTACAGAGGAAACCCTTGCGCCACATCTGAAATTCTCCTTAAAGCATTTCTGACCTGATAAGAGAGAGACCCTGCAGCAAAAGAGTTAGGGAATTCCTGGAGAAGGAGAATTAGTTATTTCAAAGCAGATACGGTCTACATCATGTGGCTGTGGCCTGTGGGAATGGGTCCTGACTCAGAGTTCAGCTGGAGAGTGATCAGACATCAGAGGTCCCATGAGTAAAGTTAAAGCAGCTCGCGGGCAAGGAGAAACCTTTTTTAAAAATCGTGCAAATTGGGAAAGCGAGAAGTAAGAAAAGTACTTCCAGTTCAGTGGGCAGCCACAAGGAAATCAAGGGCCATATAAATCAGTTTCAACTGAGGTTTCAGACCTAGGGACATCACAAGGCCAGAAGTAAAGCAATAAAAGGTTAGATTAGAAATCTAAGTTTTGAGGAAGAAGAAATTTAGGAGAGTTTTGCAAGGCTGAAAAAGTGTTGGGAAATCCTTCATTCAAACCACATTATTTAAGCCACAGGGAGCAGGTAACATCAAGGGAAAAATTTAAAGAATTCGAATTAATCTCTTAAAGTGAATAAGAGTCATTTAGTTAATGAGCAATTTAAAGTGTGCATTGCTTATTAAAGCTGCAGGCAGTGGAATTGATTCAGTAAAGCCAAAAAAGAAACAGGAATCATTTATTAAGGCAATGAGTAGCAGGAGAACGTGAACTGGAAACTCTGAAACTGACATAAAGCATCAGAAGAATCGTGGATGTAAGTGGAAAAGGGCTGGACAAGGGGGAAAAAAAAGTCGAGTCGATTTCCTTGTTCCTGTCCTACTCTGGCTCCCACCCGTAACTCTTTCCCTGATACATCGACGACATCATTGGTGCTGCTTCCCTCTCTCAGCTGGAATTGAAAAAATGTACCAATTTCACTTTCAATTTCTACCCTGCTCTCTCCTTCATCTGGTGCATCTCTGACTCCTCCCTTGCCAACCTCGACATCTCTGTTTCCATTTCTGGGATAGGCTGACCATGAATAACCACTACAAACCTACCGACTCCCACAGTTACCTTGACCATATATCCTTACACCCTGCTTCCTGTAAGCTCTCTAATCCATTCTCTTAGTTTCTCCATCTCTGTCACATCTATTCCAATAGTTTTAGTTTGTGGAACCTCCATACCAGGAAAATTTGGTTAGAAACCTGTAGGTTATAGGAACTGAGAAAATTTAAGCTCCCAGATTATTAAGTTGTCTTGTCTCTAGTCCACATCAAAGAAACTGTCAGGAATCAGTCAAGTCAAACCCTAGAGATTTGAGATAAGGGCATTATTTCTCTGTACTTGAGTCTCAGTAATGGATAATGTCAGGGCATGAGGTAAAACTTTGTTTTGTTGTGCGTATTGATCTCACTAACTGTCATCTGAAGACAGCTTGCTTTTTTTTTCATTTCTTGAATGACAAACTGTTGTTAAAGAAAATCTGTAGCCTTGTGTGAATACATTTCAGTGACTAGCCACCACATTAACTAATGAAAGTGAAAGAAATCTCTCAAACCAGGTGTCATTATGAGATCTGACTTGTCCAGTAGTACCCATCAGCTGGGATCGTACAGTTCAAACAATGTGCAAGAGGGCTAGAGTGTGTGGAGGCTAATTATATCCTGGACCACCTTACCTTCTCTTATCGCTTCCAGCAGTGCCAATGGTTATAAAATGGGAGAGTGACTCAGAGTATGATCCTTCTTTCCACCCTGCAGCATCACTGCAACCCCCCAACCCCACGCACCCACAAATGCGTGCCAGTTGTAGTATCCACCAATCATTCAGAACAGAATGTGCTGAAGTGCTTCTTAACATCTCTCCTGAATGGTATGGCCTCAGACTTTGCCCCTTAGTTCTAGACTCCCCAATCAGTGGAAATAGCTTATCCTTATTTACCTGTCTTTCCTTGTTAATATCAGATCACCCCTTAACCTTCTAAATTCAAAAGAAAACAAGCCTAATTTGTATAATCTCTCCTCATAACCTAAACTCTGAAGTCCAGGAATCGTTCTTGTAGACCTACAAGGCCAATATATTCTTAAAATGTAGTGCCCAGATCTGCTCACTGTACTCCAAGTGGCATCCACGCAGGCTTCCGCATAGCTGCACCATTGCTTCTGTGTCCTTACATTGCAGCCCTCTAGATATAAAGGCCAGCATTCCAATAGCCTTCTTGATGATTTTCTGCACCTGTTTGAGACATTTTAAAGATCTATGCACCTGAACTCCTCTAGAAAGGGTTTTATCCTCTAGAAAGTATCCTCAGGTGAAGGGTGAGGGCAAGATGGTGGTGGCCAGTGTGGGAATTGAATCCAAGCTTTTGGTGTCATTTTCCATCACAAACAGGCCATCCATAACTGAGCAATACTACAACAGGCTGAACAGTGAGTGGCTGAGGCATAAGAATTTGTTATGAGGTTTTTTTTTACATTTTCTATAAAGTTTCTGAGGAAGTAAGTTGACAGTTCTTGAAACATGTTACCACACATCCCAGAGCCAATGGGAGACAGCCAATTGAGCAGCTCAGAGGGATTGAACACAAGAGCATTTGCCATGCAGCTAAAGTATAAAATCATGATAAAAACACCTCATCAAGACGGTGTGATAACAAGGTGTAGATAACACCTTGTTATCGCAGATTCTCCGACATCAGCAGTTCCTACTATCTTATCAAGACAGTGTTATTGGGAGTCAGACATCAACAGGAGATTTTCCATTGGAAGTGAATCAGTCCAAGTCAGATTGGATCCAATTGGCCTGCATTCAAGCTGGTCAGACTCATTTGGGGGTTACTATATGTTTTTAAAGCCACATTATTTTCAAGCTCAAATCTTTGGAAATATGGCTGTTGTTTTGTAGTGGAATTGTCAGTTGGGTTTCTCAAGCTCTCAAACATTATATAAGCACTATGGGAGAATTTAAAATAAAATGTCATTACAGTTTTTGGCATGGTACCTCAGTGGTCAGCACTGCTGCCTCACAGCAACAGGGTCCTGGGTTCAATTCCAGCCTTGGGTGACTGTCTGTGTGGGTTTCCATAGTGTGCTGTGGTTTCTTCCCACAGTCCAAAGATGTGCAGGTTAGGTATATTGGCGATGCCAAATTGCCTATAGTGTCCCGGGATGTGCAGGCTAGGTGGGTTACGGGGATAGTGGGGTGGGTCTGAGTGAGATGCTGTTCAGAAGGCCAGTGTGGACTCGATGGGGTGAATGGCCTACTTCCACACTGTAGGGATTCTATGAAATTTTCAGCAATGTCACAGCATTAAGTACATGCTCAGCGGTGTTTACCGAGCAGCTATTCAATTTTATTGTTTAATAAAAAGTTAATGAAAGATCCTCTTATCTAGAGATATAAATGTGAAAATTTTACAACTGCAGGCATAATTCATCATGCAGATTTTTGTTTCATATCATACCAATCAAGTTGGAGTTTTTGTTCCTGGTCATTTCCTCCAAAAAGCAATCAAAAATTGAAGCTTCTTTTTGGAGTTTTCTATCTGTCAAGAATGGGATTTCTAGTGGTTCATTGTTATTGTTAGCATCAACAAACCTCTGGAAATTATGAGAAAAATTGTGAATATTGAAGCCTTTTCTTGAACAATTTCCATTGAAATTAAACAGCTTTATTTATCTGGCTGATTGAGGTCAGTGTGTTTTTTGCGATATTGAGCATTGAAGGCAGACAAAAAAGATGCAAGAAGGCTCAAGTCTTGAAATGGTTAATTAGAAAGCCTTTCAAATGAAGAAAATCATTATGTATGCAGCCTTGTTCTGTACTGTGTGGAGCTTGGCAGAGCCAGTTAGTAACATAACTGCCATGTCAACTCTCATCCCTTTATCTCAGAGAGATAGATTTACCAGCCTGTCCATTAGTTCTGCTTCCCCTCATTCATCCTTGCATTCTTTCAAAATGCATGCTCTTCCCTTGCATTGTCTATCATTCTTGGCTTAGCAGTAAAGAAGGGATGAAAAGATTAAGTTTCATGGCTATTTGTTTTTATACCCTGTCAGTGTTTCTTCGTTGCCTTCTCCCATCTCCTGTTATGTGAGTAGAATTTTGCTGGTGAGTTTTGCAGCTTGTGCTGGGAAGATGCACCATATTGCAGAGAAACAGCTTACCACACGCTCTCGCCAGGACTGAAATCCATCTGGCTTCTAATTAATTCCTGTCGCATTTCTTGCCATCAACTATCTCTTCATAAGCTAGAGGAGATAAAATTCTGTCTCGCTGACCTACTCTGGAACTGAAACCGTATCTAAGACCCATCAGAATAACTATGCTGCTTCTAACTGGCCTCTTTTTATTTTGCTGTTCTGTCAACACAGGATCTGTTGGCATCTCGTAAGTGGCTTCTGAGGATTTTGCACCACTTCTCATGGGAGAGGATTTATTTCCACCCCTTGGCCTTCAAGAGCAAACAGTTATCTCCTATGAAATAAAATCCAGAGGTTAGTAATAATTTACTCAGGGCACATTGAGTTACATTACATTGAGTGTGGTTATGTCAGATATTACAGATGTACAGCACTCTAAGTGTTGTTATGTAATTTTAAATATTGTAATTGTGCTTTCAGAATATGATACACAATAATCCCAGTAGTTTTCATTGATCAGAAGAAACTGGGGGCGAAAAATAAAATTAGTTTTTAATTGGCCAGCTAAGGTTTAATTTAATAAATCTTCAAGCCTGAAATTAATGAATGGCCTCTTATGTTCCTGATTGAACTCATAGGATTCTTGGAAAGTCTCTGAGTACGATGGAAGATATTGTGATTTTTTTTGTACTAATAGTCATTGGCATTCTGTGGCACTGTCTTAAACTGAACTTGTACTTGGTGACATTTTATTGTGACGATTCTAAGTAATGAATTTTTTTTAGAAAATTGACTGTTTTAGCGCAACCAACTTATAATCCTTGCATTTTTGAAAACGTTGTTCGGGTTCAAATTAAGCATTGTAAAATAAAATTAATCGGTGTATATTGGATGCACTAGCTTTTCTTTGAACAAGAAACCTGCCATGGTGCAGCTTAGAGCAGCACAATGTTGGAGAAGGAAGTCAAATTGACTGTTCAGTGAGATCCTTCTCTGCTACTTCACTGCTGTAGTGACTTCCAACGTCTGGGACAGAAGATTGTGATTTTAAGTTGCGCTCTAAAGATTGAGCACAACCATCTAGGCTAGCAGTCCAGTGAGGCCAGAGTGCTGTATTGTCAGATGAGGATATGTTCAACTGAGGTTCCATCCGTCTTCCTAAAATGAAAACAAACGATTTCATGGCAGTATTTCAAAGAAGAACAGTGATGTTTTCACTAATATTCTGGGCAATGTTTGCCTCTGAACCAATATCATCAAAACAAACTTACATTTTTTACATTTCTTTTGTGGGTCTTCAAATTTGTTGTGTGTGTTTTATCAACATTAGAATAGGGACTACATTTCAGAAGTTCTTAATGAACAACAGAGTGCTTTTGAATTTCCTCAGTGGTGAAAGTTGTGATTTCACTGCACGTTTATTAATATCGCAGGAACACAAGAAGTAGGAGTAACAACAAGCCACATGACCTGTTGAACATGTTCTACTATTCAGGACAACCCTACTTGCTCCTATAACCTTGAATCCAAAAATCTATCTCAGCCTTCAATGTATTCAACAATGGAGCACTCACAACCAGCTGAGGTAGATGGTTCTAAAGATGTGTAACCATGTCAGTGAAGTCACTTCTCTTCCCTGTTATTTTATCTTGGAGCTGTCACCCATGTTTTAGATTCTGCTGGTACACCCCACCCCTGGAATTCCCAGGATTCAGAACTGCCCACAGGAAGGATAAGTGTTGTTTGGGTGGGGAACAAGGAAACTAACTTAGGGGGCAGGGGTGTTGAAAGTTTCAATGGAGGAGTTTTGTACTCAGAGGCCTGCATTGGATTGGTGCAGATCGACCGACTCGCTCCTCCCCAAAGGTGAAGACAGTGGCATTGTGATAATGTCATAGGACTAGTAAAACAGCAGCCCAAGCTGATGATGTGGTGACATGGGTTCAGATCCTATTACAAAAGCTGGTGGAATTTAAATTCAGTTACAAATTCTGAGTAATAGTAATCATAAAGCTATCATTAATTGCTGGTTTAAAAAAATGTGGTTCACTAATGTCTATAAATAGAGGATTTTTCAAAACTGACCTGGTCTGGTCTACATGTAACTGGGTTCAAGGTGCAGTTAGGGATAAGCAACAAGTGCTGGCATTGCTGACAATGCTCACATCAAATGAAAGGATAATGAAATGAACTGACAGTCTGCCCACTTTGGCTACTGCTTGAATGATCCTCCTTGTCCTGCCTGGAGCTGAGAATCTACTAAAATGGTCCATATTTGACCACTTGAGGGCCTCAATTGGCAAGAAAAGGCTTGGGCTTTCTCCCATGGAAGTGGTTTCAGTCTGTCAACGCACCACCACCTTATGATATTTTCTCCCTGTCTCTGGGCCCATTGCCTCCACACCCGAGGGAATCTCCCCTCTCTGTCACTGTCTTTTCCTTCTTTCTATTTTGTGCCTTTGGGTTTGAGACGACTTCACTCTGATTTTTCAGAATTAGTTGCCATGAATCTGATTTTGGTATGGCTCAACTTGATTACATCTGGCTGTTCTTGTAGTCAAGGGAATAAATAATTGATTTTGGGGAGGATTCTAGGTACAGTTCTGCTTTCAGTGATTATTGAGCTGTAGTATATCTAATTTTCACCATGACTTAGTTGGTTACTAAGAAACAAACAAATTGCTGAGTAGGTCATTGAAGAAGTGTAAGAGCTGTTTCCTCAAGAGTTGTTTTTGTCTGTTAGACATACAAACAGACAAAAACTGATGCCTGTTTAGTTTAAACTGGAGGAGATCAACACCCACATAGTGGCAACTCCCTACTTCTTTTACAGTTAAATGCAGCCTTCTTACCCCAAGGGCAGAACCACAGGAGGGGGTGGGGTGGGGGTGAGATTCCGTGACTGAGATGTCATGACTGCAGGAATGGTAAATATCCAAAAATGTGCCTGTAAACTTGCATAGGTTCCTGCTGTGCACAGAGATGAAATTACAGCAAGGTAAAGGTTAAGTGATAACATTCAGATGGCAGAAGAAAAGGTTGGAACTAGGAACACTTTACATTGTGCAGCTGAGAAGTTATGTCGGAGCGTGCTGCCACTGTATTCAACCAGTTTTAGTTTGGTTCATTTGTCGAGATGTGCAGCAACATGCCACCTTCAAACTTTTATTCAGACTCTACTTTGACAGCTCGTGGGGAATCCATTAAAACTAATCTCTGTTTGCAACACACCCTACAGCTTTGTTTCTGTTTACACTGTTGCTGCAAGCACGCTATTACATCCATTGCATGCTGATGTTGTTATTTACCACTGCATTAATATTTGTTGCCACTTCTCGATGACTGTTTCTAATATTGTATAACTACTGCACCGAATAGAAGACAAAAATGTCACCTATTTTGGAGAAATATTTCCATACGTCCCATCCTTTAAGTGCCTGCTGTTTAGCAAGATGCCACTCCAAAGTTATAAATCGGAAGCACCATTCAATCCTGCTATTTGGCCCTGATGGATTATGCCTTGAATCTTGAGTGTACCAGTGCAAACTTTCATATTCTGCTCAGTGAATAATAAAACAGCAACAAAAACATTTCCTAATAATGGAAGTAGAGCTTGTATTTTCAAAGCAGTTCCACAATCAACAGGCTAATTAGGAAAACAGATTAGTAATATAATGGAAATTCACAACATATTTAAAGATGCAAGACATTTGTTGTAAGCATGGTGAGTTGATGGGGGTAGTGAAATAGAGGAAGAATCTCAATATAGCTCAAGGCCACAGTTGACAAGAGTGTGGAATCAAGGAACCCTAGAACTGGAATCAATGGGTATCGGGGGCAAACTCTCTGCTAGTTGGAGTCAGGCCGGGCACAAAGGAAGATGGTTGTAGTTGTTGGAGGTCAGTCATCTTAGCTCCAGGACATTTCTGCAGGAGTTCCTCAGGATAGTGTCCTAGGCCCAAACATCTTCGGCTGCTTCATCAATGACCTTCCCTCCATCATAATGTCAGAAATGGGGATGTTCAAAGCTGATTGCACAACGTTAAGTACCAATCGCAACTCCTCAGACACTGAAGCAGTCCAAGTTCAAATGCAGTAAGACCTGGACAAGATCCAGGCTTGGACTTATAGATGGCAAGTAACATTAATACCACACAAATACCAGGCAATGACCATCTTCAATAAGAGACAATCTAACTACTGACCCTTGACATTCAATGGTGTTACTGTCACTGAATCCCCCATTATCAACATCTTGAGATTTACCATTGACCAGAACCTGAACTGGACTAGCTGTATAAATACAGTGCCTACAAGAGCGGGTTAGTGCTAGGAATACTGCAGCATGTAACTGACCTCCTGGTTCCCCAGAGCTTGACTGCCATCTGCAAGGCACAAATCAGGAGTGTAATGGAATACTGCTAACTTGCCTGAATAGGTGCAGATCCAACAACACTAAGAAACTTGATACCATCCAGGACAAAGCACCCACTCGATTGGCACCACATCCTCAAACATCTATTTCCTCCACTGCCATTGCTCAGTAGCAGCAGTGTTTACTATCTCCAAGATGCACTGCAGAAATTTGCCAAAGATCCTCAGATCTTCCAAACCCACGACCACTTCCATCTGGAAAGGGCAGCAGATACATGGGAAGACCATCACCTGCAGGTTCCCCTCCGAGCCACTCACTATCCTGACTTGGAAATATATTGGCATTTTTTCACTGTCTCTAAGTCAAAACCGTAGAACTTGTTCAGCACTGTGTGTGTACCTGCTTGCATGTGCTGGAGATGGGTATGGTGATAGGCAAGGTGGCACCCTGCTTTATCTGGCTTCAGCAACCCCTCCAACCCCTATAGCCCCACTCAGGCCAATTGACTCAGGCCAAGTTACATGGCTTTGGGGCAGCCGGTTTTTTATTCACTGGGCTCCCCACTGACTATTTTCACTGGGGGAAGAGGGGTGGGATTTGTTGGGTCAAGGCTCGTGATGTTCTGTCAACCACATTATTCCTAAATTATCCGACAGTCGTACCAGGATATAACACAAATTAGTGTAATAACCTAAAAACAAAACTATTGCAGGTATTGAAAATCTGAATCAAAACCAGAAAATATTGGTACCATGTAGCAGGTCAGGCAACACTTAGAGACAGTTTGTTTGCCAAATGCAACACTAAGGACACAACGATAATTTAGTCATTGTGTGGTAATAGTTGACTGTGCCAATGGATTAAACAGGTTTGGATCTACTATTTGTTCAGGCTCGTTTTGTATGATAACATCAATGGATGAATGGTTTTAGAAAACATGCTCATTATCCACCATGATCCTAGAAGTTGATACCATTTA